GCTACCCATCTCACACAAACTGTCTCTGGGTGACGTATAACAATTAAAGTAAAATAACAAGTGAATAAAAATAAGCATTATAAAAAGATTTAAAAATTATTATTAGAATAAAAACATTCACACATTTTAAAAAATAGATTTTAAAATATACAAACCCCACAGAGAGAGTAGAAATTAAATAAGAACAGATGGTTAGTGATCCAGTCAAAGATTTTTTTTCTAAATTATTATTGTGGGAATGAGAATGTAAATGAATGGTTTATCATAGCTGTTACCTCTATTTTACCCTCATTCTTTGCCATAAGTTCTTTGTATCTGTAACAGCTACCTCACTAATTACTCACTAATCACAAGTAATAAATAATATAGTTCTGTGACTTAATTCCTTTAGTTACAGCAATCCAAAAATAGGTCTGTCAGTAAGTGAGATATTATGGTTGCTTTTAAAACCATTATGTTTTAGGATGTCTTAATTCTAAGGCAATGTTTATTTATTTAGCTATGCTAAAGTAATTCCCATAGTGTTTACCTCTGAATACAAAAGTAACTGAATAGTCACCGCTTGCATAGGTTGCAAAACACTGTTATATATTTCTGTACGTTGATACATTTGATATTGTATTGATTGTTGTCTTAAAACATGAAGAAAGTACACTGAATTCAGTAAAAAAAAAAATGACATAAAAATGCAACCCATAGCCTTGAATGTCAACTGAATCATGTACTTTAGAGAATCAGAAGCAGTTGTGGGGGAAACAAAAAAAGCAAAGGTGGTTGGAGAGCTCTTGCTCTTGAGTAGGTAACTATTCCTCTATTGTTTCTATTGCTAATGTTCCCATTGCATTATTTCCCTGTGAGAATAGCGGTCTTTTTCAAAAGTAGTCTTCAATGTATGATTTTGTCAAATAGCAAATAAAGTTCTCAGAATTCTTTCCCATGAGAGTTTGTGTGCTGCGTCATATCTCAAATCCTTTGTGGGTTTTTCTTGAGAGAGAGAGAGTGGAAACTATTCCAGTCATGTGCCTGTGGGAATTAAGTAGTACTACTGCTTACTATATGTTGTTTTTCAGCAGGAGTTGCCTAGTGCCAAGGCACGCATGCTCAAGGGTATGCACTCATGTGCATCCCAGTGGACATACAATATAGTTGATACTTCTGGAAAAGAAAGTTGCCAGAATAATTAATTTGATAGGAACAAAGAAAACAACATTGCTTCATATGGGTAAATGAAGTACAGCACATGAAATGTGTATCCTTTTTCATTACCTGTGGTCTGTTGAATGCCATGTTTGTGTTAACTAATTTGATGCCCTGAGTCATGTTCGGATCCTGGTGACTACATGGACAAATACTTACCATTCCAATCTATCCTCACTCACCCACTTTATGTTTGTTTTTCTGTTCCCCTCAAATTTGCTAAGCATAGTGATATTTTCTAATTCATTATATACTCACATATGCTCAAAGTATGTGAGCTTTTTGCCTTAAGAGAGCAGTCAACAGTATTAATCCTATGCCAGGGTTGTCCAAACTTGGCCACTTTAAGATGAGTGCAGTCCATAGGAAGTAGTTTGTGATTCTGTTCTGGAAGATTTACTTCCTATAAACTGTCAGACCACCACTCAGATATCTGGATTGGTGTGATCTGGATTTAAAACAGAACGTTCTTGTATTCAAGTACGTTGCCATCAAAGTCTTAATGAACAAACAAAGAAGCACAGTAGTTTACAGATAAGGTTATAACTTTCCAAGGGGGAAGTGGTAAAAAATTATATATACTCTTACTGATTGCCTTTTCAACAGTCCAACTGCAACATCTCCTCTATGCATTTGACATGCTGCAGTTACTTTTACTAAATATTCATTATTTGCAAAGTGTTCTTTTATTTTGGTGTATTTAATAAAACTTCCCACCTGATAACCTCCTTTATAAAAGCCATTTTGTGATTTTGGTCTACTGATTGCCACTTTTGTGTAATAGGTACCTTCAGAAGTGAGAGATGTTTGGCTTTGCTGTTGTTCTCTATTTTGTGAACAATAGGGTTAAAAGTTCCACGTGTCTGATTACAGTAGTTTGAATTCAATGGGCAAGGAGTATGAGGAGACCAGAAAAACAACCCTCTCCAGTGTCATTGATTTCTAGTCGCATAAGGAGGCATAAGGAGATAATTGCTATCCGTTCATTCAGCGTGGAGTCAAGTAATCCTCTTGGGTACTAGTTTTACACAAAAACAAAGTGCAGTATGCTTTTGGATCATTAGGTGGCATATTTCTTCATGTTCACATGCTCCTTGACTAGTTTATAAATTAATATAAATGTTAATTTATCCTTTATCTAAAATAATATTTCAGGATTTTAGATGACTACAAATTTCATTCCAAAATTAATGGAATGAAATTTATAATCAATTTGCAAGTTTGAAATAATGATAGCAAGAATCTCAAGAGCTATTTCTTTTTTTATTCCAGAACATGATTACTAATGGGTCATATGAGAACAAAAAAATTACAAAAGAAGTAAATTTGCATATTTTCAAAGAGACAGTAATAAAATGCAAGAATAGGAATTAATTATCACTTCATACTGTATTAATATTGTTAAAGAGTATGTATGTTGGCTAACTTCAAGAATATAGTTGTATCTTGGCAGAATGAACTTGATAGGCATCTCCTATGCAGATTAACAGAATTAAGTTAGAGAACAAAGAACCTCATAATATTTTGTAGTATAAGAGGTGTTTTTCTCTGGAGTAGAGTCTGCTACGTACTGCTTTCTCTGGACTTTGTATAGTGTCATGTCTGAGTGTTGCCATTGCCATCTGCAAACACAATTGTCTGTCTTCCAGCAATTTTATTCATAGGTGCAGTTTGTTATATAGTTCATAGTTCTGTAAATACAGTGGGTATAACCTTTAGGAAATAACATCTGCTACATTTGGATTATATAGGATAGAAGCTGCTAATCTCTGTATAGAGAATGTTATAATTTGCGATGAAACCTATGTGAATTTATAAAACTGCACTACTTTTTAATCCAACACATATATCTGTATGTAGTTATCCTTTAACATGCTTTAAAATACCTTAATATGAAATTATAATAAGATTCCAAATAGTCCAAGACCCTGAAGGTGGATCCATTGTTTAGAGGGTCACTTTGTAATCACTGTCTTCCCTCATGTTTCATTCTAGAATTTCATTCATTCTGTTCTTCTGAAACTTGCGTATTTATGGTCAGGTCAGTTCTGCAGGTAGTCCTCGGGTTATGATTACTCATTCAGCAACCGTTCAAAGTTACGACAGTGCTGAATGAGGGGGACTTATGACTGGTCTGCGAAACTGCAGTTGTCACAGCATCCACCCAGTCACGTGATCGCAATTAACGTGCTTGGCAATCAGCTCACCCTTACAATGGTTGCAGCATCCCACAGTCATGTGATCACCATTTATGACTTTCCCTGCCAGCTTCCCACAAGCAGAGTTAATGGGAAAGCTAGCAGGAGGTCACAAGTCACTCCTGCTCCTGCTGCTTTTTCACCCACCTGCCTGCGCTCTGTAGCACCCACCTGTGGCACCTGCCTGCCCAGACTTCATAGCACCTGCACTCTGTAGTGTCTCCCCACCTGCCTGCACTCCGTAGCACCCACCTGCTCACCTGCTGGCCTGGGACTCCCTCCTCTTCCCATGTTGCAGTCATGTGAGGTCCTCACTTAATGACCCACGTGGTCCTGGGATTACGACAGCAGCCAGGACCACCAGGATTGCCATCACTAAGCAATGCCATCATGTGACATTGCGCTTCACAACTGCATCACTTAGCAACAGAAATTCTGGTCCCAATTGCCATCATAACCCGAGGACCATCTGTACAACTTTCATTTGTGTGAAATATTTAATTGAACTTAACAGTATTATATTTGCTAAAGACTGCTCAACAAATATAGTTGCTACGTATATTATGGGAAGATCCCTTTCTACTCAGCAGTTGTTGTAAGCCAGAGCCCTCTGACTGAGCTCTGTGTTCCCCAGAGCTTTCTTCTCATCATGCATGTCTTTCCTAGGATCTGCCAATGCTAACAAATACTCTTAGTAATATTCTCCATTAGTACATAATTGCCCCTTTCAGTCTTAGCAAGAGCATTATATATACATTACAGAATGAATAGTGTGGCAGACTAAATATTATGTCAAGGTTAGAAGTACCAGAGAGTGAGGGTAAAAATGATTGTGCCAAGAAAAGGAAGCAGTGACATTCACAGAGATAGTTGAAGAGAAGAAAACAAGGAAGTATTAGTTTCAAATGCAGAAGAAACAAGCTCATATACCCCAACATATTTAAAGAGAGGTCCATAGTAACTTTGTGCTGAGCTTCAAAATCATTTGATTTCAGAGTTCTGATTTCCAATAAAGAGCTTGTCCTTCTGGGACCAAGTGATAATAATCCTTATGTGATAATAGCACTGAAATTTATTTAAGAGATATAAAAAGTTAGAGTTGCTCTTAAAATGTTTTGTTTTGTTTTGTTTTTTTATTTTCTTTTTTAATCTATTC